CTGAGGCTGGGAACTAGAGGCTGGCAGTGCCTCAGACAGATGCCGGGGAGTTTGCCTGATTCAGGAACTCTGACCAGGCTCAGCAAAACCAGACCTTCTCTTCCTGAGTTAAGGTCTCTAAGCAGTGGGTCTTTATACTGTTCAGTAAGGTACAGAATTTGGTTTTAGTTGAGTTCATGTTATTATAGCAGAAGCATATTGAAAGATGCTTTAGGGCTGGTGAGATAGTTCAGCGGATTAAGTGCTTACTTAGGCAAGCGCAGGGGTCAGGTTCGATCCCTGGCAGCACCTGCCACGCCTGCCCTGCCCCACTCCCCTCATGCTGAGCCTTTGATGGAGTCCAGGTGTGGTGGTGCACGCCTGTAATCCCAGCACTACGGAGGCTGAAAACAGAAGGATCACTACAAGTCTGAGCTGTGCAGTGAGACCCTGCGTGCGCGCGCACACACACACACACACAGATGCTTTGTATATAAGGTGCTTAATTCTACTGCAGAGGAGAGAAAATTGATTGCCTCACGACGGTCCTCTGAGGAAGGCAAGAGGGAACTGAGATCTAAGTTTTGATTTGTTTCAGACATTTGCTGTTCTGTGATCTGAGCCTGTAATGTCTTTGTGCTTCAGGATATTTTTCACTTATAAAATTAGAAGGTAAAACTTACACGATCCAGCTCTAAAATGAATCTCTGGAGCTACTCCACTGGGAACGTTTTCAAAGAATTTCACTCTTTCCACACAGTCAACAGAGGAGGAAGGCCAGGAGCCATCTGGGCCACGCTCCTGCTTCCACTTCTATCGCTCCACATCTTGCGCCTCCTAGAGGGAGGACTGCAGCGTGCTCTCAAGTCTTACGGAGGGAGCCCCAGAGACAGCATTTGGAATAAAGCTTTCTGCTCCATGGTGGAAAAGAGCCACCCGCAGCTGGGCTTCCATGTTTGAGATGGCTCAGCACAGGGCGTGGCTCAGTCCTCCACAGAGCATCTGCTGCAGATGCTCAAGAATGGAGGGTCAGACACCTGGGGCTGATGGCTCACCCTGTCACGGACACTCTCCAACTGGGGACTCTGAGACCCTCATAGGGAGCCTGAGAGGTGAAGACTATCTTCATAATACTAAGACATTATTTGGTTTTTGCACTGTGTAGACACCAACGCTGGCATTGGATAAGGATCAAGGCAATGGCCCTGAACTCCCTCAGTCGGTGTATCCTTCACTACCATGTATTCAAAGTAGACAATAAAGTCAGGCTCCCATAAGAATGGCCTTGATGTATTGTTTAATTCTTCTGTTCTGACTAACTGGGAAATGTGCAAAAGCCCTTCTGCTGTGCCCTGAAGTACTCTGATTGTCCTGAAGGAAGACACTTAGGCAGCTCTCTGAGGTGCGAGCTGGACTGGCCTCCTCTTATACCCCCCAAACCGTCATTGTTTACTTGAAAGAACAAATAACACACAAATTATGGTTATTCAGACTTGGGAATTTGGCAGGCATTTTCTCAAAAAATGAAGTAAGCCTGTCACTTCAAGGAAAACAACTGACAGTATTTGTTGCCAATGATAAAATTCAAGCTTTGAAGCAAAAATCCAATCCTAGAAAATCTGTATTCATCACTATGAGCTTGACGGCTTTCCAGCGCTCAACCACTTTTCTGATGAGATCTGCACTCATATTAATAGATGTGATTTTTGATATTATTTAATGAACTGTCAGCCTTCGTATGATCTGTGTAACCCTTTAAACCACTATTTTCCCAGTGACCTGTGTATCATGGTATAAAAATCACACATTTATAAAAGATCCACGCAAAGTGATAGATAAGCAATGCATTTTAGTGTAACAGAGTACAAATCCACTGACACAGTGATGGTATTCCATCTAATTAACTGTCTTAGTTGCTTTTTACATTGCTGAGAGAAAATGCCTGGTGCCCAAAGTTAAAAGGGGACTTGCTTATGTAGCTCACAGTCTGTAGGGTTTCAGATTATGGAATCAATACAAGGCAGAGGGGCAACAGTCCATGGCGGTACAAAATGGCAAAAGCAACAAGGAGCAAGACAAGACTCTTTCTGTCTCTTATATTGTGTCCAGTTCACTGGGATTGGCAATCTAGTCAATGGGCTGATCTAGCAGTCACCCACCCTCAATCCCAGCATTGTGCTACAAATCAATCCATTCTCTAGATTTAGCCACCTCCAAAACACTCCTATGACTGCATGAGACTTTGGGGGGACATCTACACACAAGCTCTAACAACCTTTCAAAAAATTACTACATGTAGAATTTGTAGTTTGTAGTAGTTTGTGGGGTAGTAGCAGCAAAGATTGTAACTATCTAGGAAAGTTATTAAAATGATCTTTCTTTTTTGTGTGAAACACTTTAATATACATCAACCCAAAATATATCATAATAGCCTGAATGCAGAAACAAAGGCAAATGAGAATATATGTGCCTTTTATTAAGTCAGATATTGAAAAGATTTTAAAAATGTAAAAGGATGACATTCTTTTCACTAAAGTTCTTTTCTTTTAAACAATATAGTTATTGATGTTAACATGTAAGTTATTAAACATAAATTTATTATTACTCTGTATTACTTAAAATAGTTTTAACATCTCAGTTTTAATTTTAGATGTGAACACCAACAGATACAATCCTTATAAACAAAAGTATATGGAAGTTTTTAGCATTTTTTAAGCATCTAAAAAGATCCTGTGGTAAAACATTGGAGAATAGTTTTCTTAGAATACCTGCGAGGACAGTAGTGTTTGGGGGATGAATTTACAACAGAGAGAGGCACTTGATATTTGTCAGTTGTAGGAAAGCTTCTCTAGACTTGGCAGTGAAGGCTGCCTATCAAGACAGACTCTTCCCTGATACAGCACGGGAAAGTCATTTACTGCCTAAGATTGGTAAAATCACATTTGAGAATATCAGATCTCGGGGTCTGCATTAGATCTTCCCTGTCTCCTTCCACTTGGCTCCAGCCACTGAGGCTTCAAGTTCACCCCTTTTGTTCCACATGAGATCCAGCCCACACTTCCTGGTTGGTACAGTCCTTTGTGACCAGGTACAGGCTGGACATCGGCCACCCAGGTCATAACAAATGCCACTCTAAGCTCAACAATCAGTAGCTAGTACCTGGAAAGCAGTGGGTCCTGAGAATCAAAGAGAGTATGCCGTGGCTTTTGGGCCAGAAGATGTTTTAGTCTGATGGGGAAGAAAAACTCCTTAAGAAATAATTACAGTATGATTTTATAGATGCTCCTCTATACACTGTTATCATATTTTTCCAGCTGAAAAATAGGATACAACCCAACAAGCGATTTGTTATAGTATCTTACAATGGGACTATGGTTGGGACATTGGATCACACATGTGCTCTATATAGTAAGAAACTAACAACTCCATAGAAATCCTGTATAGATTTGTACCTAATTTGCTCCAGAGACCCGGAAACAATTTTTTAACCTTCCCTTTCCTAAATTCTAGGAAATGATGGTAACAGAATAGAAAAGAGTAAACCATCTCTTTAGGATCACAGAAGATGAGTGGTGGCCTTAACATTTTATTTTCCCTGTGTTAGTTTTCTCCTGGGATGGGGTGCAGCTCTTTAGGAAATTTTCTCCAATGTCCTTGTTCCAAGTGGTTTCCCCTCATGAAGAGTCCAGTTTTGTTCATGCGGGTCTCCACACCAGCTAACACAGATCGGACCATCTCCCAGAGTCAGAGGAATGAATCAGAGAGGCCTCGAAGATCCCATGTCTTGACTATATGTGAGTGACATGAAACAATAGGGCTCTTGTTCTGCCAAGAGATGTTGGTGTCCCCTCTGGGTGGGCTATTTGGGAACCAGGGAGGTTCTGGTTTGGCCTGAGTCTGAGGCCTATCCATGCCTTGCCTTCTTTTGGGATCTGGCCCAGATTCATCTTTTTTTTTTTTTTTTTTTATCTTTCTCTTATTCATACCATTCTTTTCCAGCTGTGGTGACTCCAGAGTGAAACACACAAAAACAAAACAGACAATGAACAGAGACAACGTGCTCAGTGCCACACACAGACATCATGCCACCCGCAGCTACAGAGAATAGGCAACCCTGGGGCTCAAAGGCAACCCAAACCAAAGGCAGGACAAGGAACCTCAAAATCCATTGTTGGGTCTTGGATTCACTAATTTCACGTGACTTTGGGCAAACTATGGCTTCTTTCTGATCCTTGGTAAGCTTCAAAGAGGCAGGTTATTTTGAGCATAAAATGGTCTAACATGTAAAAGTGATTGACATATGATTAAGTAGTCTACTATTTGTAGTTCCAGTCCTTCAGTGTCACATGAACCTGAGCTATAACTTTTAGTTGTCCATCTCTAGAGCTTAGGACAGTGTCTGTCATGTAGTTGGCACTTGTTGAGATACATGTCTGATTAAAAAAAGAGGTTGGGAGAGTTTGGGTTAGGGCTAACCCCCAAAATAGCAAGCCTTGGGTCTTCTCATACCTTGCACAGATTGGCATTGTCTATCTGGAGCATGGTGTCACAAAGGAATTAGAAGGTAAAATGTGGAGTCAGTAGAGAAAGAGCGTACTGACTGATTACTGACCCTGGTTATGGATGAAGATGCTAGCTAGTTCTTGACTTTGGGTTGTCAAGATCAAGTTCTTTGGCTAGCTATTTTCAGTACCAATTGACCCGTTGTATAATTATAGAGCTATTTCAGGAGGTCTAAGGCTACCAAATTCTTGACTTGATAAGTAGCATAACTTCAGGTATATTTTTTAAAATCCACAGATAAGAAAAGATACTGAGCAACATTATGCAGAGAAGCTAAAAGCAAACCACTTTTTATGTCTGCCAGTCTCCATGAATTTACTTACTTGGAATGCAAGTTTCACGAATCAAGTGCTAATAGCAAACAGAGTTGACATACAGCAGCCCAGGAATCCCACAGTCAGACAGAATGTCAGCAATGTGCTTTTCCCCCCAAACTGCAAAATAGCTTCTCTACTCACGAGGGTAATCCTTTGGATGTGTCTTCTCTGACCAATTCCCATAAAATGTGAGCCTGTACTTGGCGGTTCCACAGGCACAGCAGTCTAAGATTGGCCTGTCTGTCACCCCATCAAGTGTAGAATCTGCAATAAGAAAGTCAGTATGTGAAGGAGAAAAGAGGATGCTTGTACAAGGGAGCCCTGTGTTGGTTCACCTTAGCCTTAGCCCCTAGGGGGAAAACGAAGCACATTTTTCATTGATTAACAAGACTTGGAGCAGTGGTTGGATTGGATTTTGTCCTCCTTTACATATTGAAACTATATTTCATAAACAAAACAAAAAATTCATGAATTTTCCTCCACTAACTTGAGGATGTCCGTTGGAACAACAGGACAAACACTTTCAGGTTGGGGAGATCTTGGGAAACCAGAGGTCAAACATACTCCATGATTCTTTGTGGATTCTCATCTCCTTCCAACTCATTCTTCTAACAGGATGTCTAGACCATATTTGAAGAGGGATATGCAAGTTTTTCCTCTAAGAAATACTCTCTGGGGCTAAAATGCAAAATTGGAGGAAGTGGCTTTGAAGGAGAACAGTGAGCACAAGTAGAAAGACATGAAGACTGCTGGATATGATTTTACAATGCTTATACAGTCATGTCATTTCTTATCACAATCTCAGAGCCTCGACGGGGAGGGATGGGGGTTGGAAATGTGTTCATAAGTTCAGGCAGCCGGGAGAAACACAAGATTCCCTCTCCACCCCCGTTTTTAGCTGTGAGTCCCTGATAAGTGGGCAAAGAGATACTGTGTGAATAAAGTCAATATTTCTGACGGTCAACCTCACAGCCCTAACTGGGCCTCATTGCTTTTTGCCTGCTCTGCTTCCTGCAAGATGAAAACAGTGGCTATAGATGCAACTGCTTTTTCTCTTTAGTTCCCTTAGCAGTTTAACATAAATTTTTTTTTTTTTTTTTTTTTTTTTTCTGCAACTTGGACATTTATTCTTGAATGCTGGGCCGAGAGCAGCAACAAAGAGTACGAAAATAATTTTCAATGTCAGAAAGAATATTCTGGAAGTTTTCTTGTAGAATTCACTGGGTTCACTAGGTTTGAACAGGCAAAATCAGTGACAAGTAGGAGTGAATCCTGGGTTCTAGGATGGAGACAAAAGTCCAAGACAGTGGAATGAGAACTGCACCGTACTGAGGGCTTGTGCTGGTCCCTTTCCATATCCACAGCAAATCTTTGGGTGGAGAGCAGCTTGTTCTGTGAGTGTTCCATGGGATAAGCAAGGATTTCTAATAAATTTTAACTTGAAAAATAAGCGCTGCCTTGCCATATGAGTAGGACGTGACGCTGAATGTCACAAGATTACAAGTGTTATTGGGTGGGTTCTTATTTTGGTTTTGTTTTGGTACAGGAAATTGAACTTATAACCTAGGGCTTGCCAGGCAGGTGCTGAGCCACTGAGCTATATCTCTGGCCTTAGCTTCCTTGTTAAAGATGTGTACAAAGGAAAAGATTCCATTGAGCCAATAGGCAGCAGTGATGCTGCTAGAGAAAGGAAGTCATCCCATAATCAATCATCTTCTTTCGTCTCCCTCAAACCAGCCACAAAGGCTTTTTAAAGGGAAATACAGGTTAATTTACTTTTCTTTATATTTTATATTTTCTTTATTGTTTTGTATTGTATTACAGTATTGGAATCATTTCATATGAATTTTTATTTTAGTTTGTGGAACAAATCATCTGAATTTTTGTTATTTCTTATGGGGACATTTGCTTTGATATACAAGTGCTTTGGATTACAAGCATGTGTCCTGAATGAATTATGTTTACAAGCCATGGTTTTACTATATTGTCTCATTGATCCTAACAATCCTCGGAAGTACGTACTTTGGTCATCTTCGTTTTACACAACCATGCACTGAGGCAGGTAACTTGCTCAAGGTCACAAGGTAGTGAGCAGAGCAGGCAGAACCAGAGCCCAGGTCCTTTGGGATCCAGTGCCCTTGCCTTTCACCTCTCCGTGACATTATTTCAGGAAAGACCAACTCTGGGCAGGTCTGCACAAATGACAATGAGAGAAAAACTTTTCCCTTGTGGTTTTGTTTCACTTTTACTTTCTCCAAATGAAGAATGGTGGATTTAAAAAATTATTTCCCTACCTAGCCCCAAGGTTTCTAAACAATCCCAGGAAAGGGTTTCACCACCCCCCAAAAGTAGAAATTATTGGTTGACTACTTTGTGGACACTGAGAAGAGGATGGAGCACTGCTGTATGTGTATAGGAGGCCTGGATCTAATTCCTGAGTGAGCCACTTTGATTGTCTCACTCAGATATGTCTTAGGGAAGGCCCTGTAACCCAGGAACTCCTAAAAACTTTATCCCTTTTTACTCCCATTATGACCAACTATGTTGTGAAAAACCTAAATTAGTTTTGGAAAGAAAAGGATTCCGAGCTAAGCAATATATCCTGGGGTCTCAACGGTAACTATCAGGAGCTGTTAATGAGCCAGCAGTAATCTCTAGAAGGCCCAGAATGAAGCCAACTGGTAGCTTTGCCTTACCAGAAGAGGCTTTCCAATTTAGGTGGTGGTAAAGTTAAAGATATTTTCAAGGATTTAAAGAATTGCACTTACAACAAACCTTTTGGGATTCCAAAGAAAAATAAGCTTCTGCCTAAAAAGTAAATTTCTAGGTTGGAAAATAACAACTATTTCCCACTGAGGGAATCCTACTGATAGTGAGGCAGGCTTTCATAGGGCGGTGCTAACAAGTTGCTCCCCCAGCACCACAGCAGGCTGCCAAGTGCAGGCACCTCAGGCCCGGAGCCTCTTCTTTGTATCTCTACTCTTAATCTGCTGTCTTCTTTTTCAGCTCTCCCTGGTATTTTTTTCTTTCACTTTTCTTCCTTCTCTCATTAACCCTCTCTGCTTACTATCGATCCTCCATCCTCCTCCTTGTCTCTCCCCTCTTAAAGGACTAAGTATTAAACTGTACATATGCATGCATTTGCTGTAGATTACCTTCTTAAATATTTCATGCTTTTAATTCTAAGTAGCTTAACATCTGTATTGCTTTTTTTTTTTTAAAGCAATGAATGTTATTGCTTGTTAATCTGTGTGGCTCTTATTAATCTCTACCTATGGATTAATGGTTTTATTTTGGGAAAAAATAATAGATGCAAGTTTCACTCTTCCCTTGATAGATTTGATTTGGTTCATCAAGGAAGCAAAGGATGCAGAGATCTTAATGAAAAAGCTAGAGTCGGTTAAGCAATCACACACAAAGACTTAAGGCAATGTGCTTTGTTGGCTGACTTATGGGCCTGCTGTCTGAAGATCATCTCGACTGTATCTGTCGATCCTACTTTCCAGAACCTGTGGAGCCCTATTTTTGTCAGCACCTTCCAATGGCAAGTAATCTTTCTGTATAGATGCGTGGTGAGTCACTTTGACAGGAACTCTGCCTAGATACAAACAAGGAAATGTTTGTCATGCCTTTTTTTTTTTTTTTTTTTTTTAGCACTATATCTATAAATTTTAGCACATGCGTGGCTCAGACAAGGCTTCACATCACATCATATTTGAAGCTCTGGAAAGTGGCTTTAGTTAATAATTGCTGTCAGTACATGGAGGTGTCAGTACAGCATACCCTCAGAACTCTCAAATCCTACCAATAAGGCTGTCCTCTGACAGGTAAACTAATGAGACTCACACCTCAGTGACTGTCCTTAGCTACCTATGCAGGAGGCTCCAAGGTGGTGTGTAAGTGTAGGATCTAGAACAGCCGCAGCTCTAACCTACAGGGTCTGGGTATCATTTCATCATAGGTGGATTGTGACCTAGGAACTTAGAGCTTCATGGTTGAGATGCTGTCTAGAGAAAGGTTGAGTGAGTGGGCAGTGACATATACCAGCGTTAGCACGGATGCTAGCCAAGTGCTTAGACCACAGATCATAGTTTTCTGGTGTGAGCAGCAGCTATAGTCCTGATGGCAGAACGTCCAACTCAATCCCCACCTTCTCTTTCAGAGGACTTAATTTTGCTCCAGTTCGTCTATGGAAAGGTAAGGTGTAGAACTGCTCAAGACAACAGTGCAAGCCACTGCATTTTCCTCTTAAGAGTAACAAAGTTTGGAGTCACTATATGTCAACGATGCAATCTTTTCTAGGGTCAGTTTTTCTTAAAAGGTATACTCAATGTAATGCACCATCAGTTAACTAGATTTTTCCTGGTCAACAAAAGGCTCTTGTTGAAAAACCAATGAGCAGTCCTCAAAGTTCATAGACTTTTAGGTGACTAATTGCATAAGGTTCAGTTACAGTGTCTAGAATTAAAGCACCCCAAATTGTCCACTGTGAAAGTGCCCTAGAGTTTGTAACTTAAAGCATAAAGAGTAACACTTTATCTTATATTAATTAAGAGTTACATTTCCCATTTGTTAGTGTACATGTACTACATGTTTTGTGAGGAATGGCTACTATAACCCTCCAAGTCAGTTCCATGAATAGCCATTTACCAATCGCTACACTACTAATGGGGTTTCTTAAAGGAAACATTCTGTGCTGTGTTATGATTCATTGTCATCTTGCTGCTTGACAAATAGGATTGTAAGGAATTGGAACTGGGCATGTTACTAGTACCCTTATATGATGACATGTAAAATTATTATTATTATTTTGTATTTTAGAACAGGGACTACAGGGTCTCACTGCATAGATAGGTCTCATAGTGATCTGCCTGTTTACTTCCCAAGTGCTGGGATTATAGGTGTGCGCCATCATGCCCAGTCTCAGTTGCCCTCTGAGTGTACCCAGGGGCGGGGCCAGCACAGCAGGCTTGGGATTGAACTCCCAGCCCCTGTGTCTGCCTAAGCAGGTGCTTTAATCTGGTGAGCTATTTGGCTGGCTCAAGATGTAAAATTAAAGATGAGGAATGTGTGTAAATGATAATTGGGTGTTTTTAAATATTGGTCAGGGCTATATCAACAATTTCTGTGGTTTGTGTGTTTTAACTTTCACTTTAAAATGCATAGGATAAGTTAAAAATAAAAAAAATACAAGAAACTGAAACAGAAGATAGAGTCTAGAAGACAGTGGCTTTGGCAAAAGAGCAGTGGTTCGGGGCACTGGCTTCAAGGGTGAAATCCTCCCTTTAACGAGGGCTCATGATGCTGGGGGAGCAATTTTAAACTATTGGTCTGGTGGGGTATGGTGGCATACTCCTGTAATCCCAGAACTCTGGGAGGCTGGGGCAGGAGAATCACAAGTTCAAGCCCAGTCTGGGCAATTTATTGACTTCATGAAATACCGTCTGAAAATAAAAAACAAAGGCTGGAAGATAGCTCAGTGCAAGGTCCTTGGGTTCAATGCCCAATACCAAAAAAAAGCAAAGCAAAACAAACCAAATTGTCTCAGGCTCCTCATTTACAAATAGGGATGCTATAATAATCTTTACTATAAAGGATTATTGTTTGGATTACATGATTAATGCATATGAAGCATTTAGAATAGTGCCTGGTATGTAGCAAGAGCTCAGAAATTATTAGCTTTTATTATTATCTTCCCAGAAGACTTTTATCAACTTTTCTTAGTAGCTTATGATTTGCCAGTTAGAGGATTATTTCTTCTCCAAAGATGAATTGCTTTAAATGCAAATAAAACTTCTGCAAAAATGAATAGAAATGAGATAGTTAAGCTGTATAATTATAGAACATTTTCTATTTTTATGTAGTTAGCTAATGATTTCTAAAGACCTTCAGATTTTCTTGGTCTTTTTCTTGTATTACAGTAGATTAATGAATAAGCATTTGGATATAGATAGCAATAGCTGACACTTATATAGACAGCATTTACTATGTGCCAAGCAGGCAAGGCACTATTTTGCATGTATTAATTCCCATGGCTTGGGGGTGTGTGTGGGGGAACAGATTCTTACCCAGGCCTGCACTGAATCCAGGCTCTGGCTGTGATCGCCTCCATCTACTTGGTCTCCAGGAGCTTTATGAGAATGCCTGCCACTCAACAAGATGGGGTTGAGGAGCTTGAAATCTAAGGTCAAGCCCTGGAATACAGTATAATACCAAGGTCACTGTCCCCCATAACACCCCAATGTTCTGTTGGTCTTTCCTGGAGAAAACTCCACATGTCATCCAGATGTCACACACGTTTCTGCGGGCAATTTTTTCAGAAGATCAGACTGTTTTTACAGGTACACAATTGTGCATTCCTTAATTAAGTCCTGTGAATTATTCCAAGGAACCTCTTCAGAATAATCACTGTTTCACAAAAATAAGAAGACACCAATATAAGGTACATTATCTGCTACCCAGGGAATCAGGCTGAGTAATTAGAGCTTCCGGCAGATCCAATTATCCACAGCACACAGCCAGATTAAAACTTGGAGCTATGTGAGGGAGTAGAATGCATTTAATCCTGCAGTGAGAGCCTGAACTAGACGAGGCCTCTTCCCATCACCTGCCCTCCTCCATCCGGGTCTTACCTTGTTCACAAAGTTTTTTGGTCAGAGAGCCCTCATCTTGAAAATAAATAATGCGCTTCTGCACGATGCTGGCTCTGTGGGAAAGGAAGAGAACACAGAGGTGAGGCAGGCAGGTGGGGAGGGGGTCCTTCAGGCATGGTGCAGGGCTTCTTGGCCCTTTATGCTGTGAGGCTCTGGTGGAGCAGACCCAGCTTTCTGTGCTCATTGGAGAGCTGGCACAGGGTGACAGTGAGAGCTTTGTGAAAATGTAGGTGTTTAGAAACCATCTCAGTGCTCCTTCCTAAGTCATTGTGCTTTTTGTTTGTTTTGAGACAGGGTCTTGTCACATAGTTCAGGCTGGCCTTGAACTCACTATGTGGTCCAGGGTGGCCTTGAACTCACTGTGAGCCCATCCTTCTGTCTCAGCTTCCCAAGTACTAGAATTACAGGCATGCGTCACCATGCCTGGCTCCTAAATTGTTGTTGATGATGTTACTTTCAAAGCAAGAAAGTGAATGAACAGCATTTTTTATGCCTTTTCTCAATGGTTCATTTTACTCTACTCTTCATATTAAACTATGGAGGCCATTTATAGATCCACCAAATTCAAATTATAGAAGCATGTCAAATCTTCTTCCTGAATGGAAAAAAAGGGAATTTAAAAATATATTTTGATTTGTTCTGAAAATGTCATTCTATATCTTTCCTGAAAGTCTAGACAAAACCGTCTCCTACATTTTGAACAAAAGACAACTTCAGCTGTGATAACTCTCTCTCAAACATGTAAAAAATAGGCTCTTAGAATTTGGGAAGCACATTTTAAGGTTGAAAAAACCACTTACTTTTTGGTCAGCATATTCCCTCTTTAATCTGGGAATGCACAGAAACGCAGCTTTCCCTTAAACTTACTCTGTTGTTTATTTCATCTGGCTTTGAAGAGGTTGAATCCTGAAGCCCAGTGTTCCAGTAATTTGAAAGTCTACAACACTTAAAACTGAGATGGTGCCAATAAATCTTGGGCCATTTCTATTGATTTTCTTCAGCAAAGCTACTCAATCAAAAGGTAATTTTCACTTCGATTTGCCCTATTTAACAGATAAAGGCATCCCTTGACTCCATTATGGCTGACCACACTGAATAAGCACTAGAGTCACAGGATCTGCCCTGAGTCAGAGGAGCCCAGGCCCAGGAATGAGGCCGTGTGTGCAGGATCTGTGAAGAACAGAGGCAATTTTCCTGATGGTCTGGGCCACAGCCAAAATGATTTTCCAAAGAAACGTCTACTCTACATCCAGCCCTGGAAAAAAAGATTATAATTCAGAGCAGCCTACAGATGTCTTTTATAGTCTTTCCCCACCCAAGAGGCACAAGATGTTGAAATAACCAAATGAAATATGCTTCCTGTCTACAGTGATACTTTGATCATTTATCCATTATGTTGACCACTTAAGTGGGAAGGTTTCCTCAGGCCAAGGTTGTAATACTCAATCCTACCCTGAAGCTGAGGAACAAAGCCTTTTGTTAGAACGCCCACCATCTCCAACTGTGCTTTGCAAGATGTCCTAAACTGGGGGACCCCCATGGAGCACAAGGAGCAGGCCTGGGGGAAGGATCCCAGGCTCCACACTCAATCCATGGCTCCATCCCTATTTCAGCCATAGCAGTCCCCTCCCCCCATCTGTCTCTGTGCTATTTATTGGTATAGTTTTAACAATCATTGCTGGGGGCCTGTTCAGTGGCTGGCACTGCAGAAAGTTCCAGGAACACTGTAAGACAGATGGGACCACCCTGCCCATTCTCAACATTTATAGCACAGTAGGGGGAAGCATCAAAGGATCGAACCCACAACTCATGATTTAACCCACCCATAATGAAGTGCTACAGTGGGGATAGGGACAGAGCTTGGGAGAACACAGCAGGGGGGCCCTGGCCTGACCCAAATGGGAAAGGTTCTTGTGAGGGAGGATGGCTGAGGCAAGATTCGGAAGACTGCGGAGCTAACTAGGCAAGTGGGTGGGACAAGAAGGGGAGACGGTGTCCCAAATGAAGACAAGTTTTTTTTTTTTTTTTTTTTTGTACAGAGCCAGGCAAGTGTTGATTCTATTGAACCATCTCCCCAGCAGTGTTCTGGATGAAATCCTCATGTTTGGGAGGACAAAGGCATACAGGTCAAGGGGGTAATGTGAATGAGCTGGGACAGTGGGCAGGGACACAGCACCCAGAGCTATCAGAAGACAGTATTTTACTCCAAGTTTAGTGAGTTATTTTTGAAGACCATCCCCCAAGGACTACAAGGACCAGATTTGCTCTTTCAAAAAAGCACATGAAGGGTGGGCCAAATATCTCAGCAGATTAAAGTGCCTGCAAGCAGGCGCAGGGGCCAAGGTTTGATCCCCAGGCCTGCAGTGCCAACCCCGCTCCCGGGGCATCCAATCTAATAGTGAGACCCTGAACACCCTATAGCCCCTTTCCTAAAATACAAAAAAAAAAAAAAAAAAAGAGCACCAAATAGCAGAGTCAAAGGGAACTGGTGCACCACTGCAGTGTACAGAGGTCCTATGCAAATCCAATTTTGTTTCAATAGGTTCTCTTGGTAAAAAGGGCTGAAAGCCACTGGTGTACAGGATAACATATACACATGGCTCCCAAGGTATTTTTAAAAATCATTTTCCCGGAACATCTTCCAGCTTCATTTGTTGCCGTGTCATGGTAAGTTCTCTGGGGCCCAGCCTCTGACTTGCGTCCTCCTGCTCTGAGGACCTCTTTCCTCTATCAGGTGAAGCATGAACGGGAGGATAAGGACAAAAATCTATAACTTAAAGGTATGGTCATTATAAGTAGTTGTATGTAACTTTGGAAAAAATGTGATTATAAAAATTTGTGGGGACAAAAGATGAAAAACAAGCATATTTCTTGATGAACTGTATCAACTTCATTACCACTTGAGCTTTTACAAAAATTTAGGATAAAATATAAGGCAGACCACTTATTTTTTAATAATTATCATTTCTAAGCCTTTAATATGCATCAATTTTCACTGAAGGATTTTATGCTTTCTGCCATGTGTATGTCCGTGTGTGTGTGTGTGTGTGTGTGTGTGTGTGTGTGTGTGTAGAAGGGGGCAGAGAGAGTCGGACAGACAGAATGAGTGCAAGTGTGAGTAAGCACATGTGGCAGAGCTCAAATTCTTCATCCAAAATGATTAGGCTGAATATGTTTTATTTTTTTGTATTTTAGGGAAGGGTCTACAGAGTGTTCAGGGTCTCACTACTAGATCAGACTTGTAGTGATCCGCCTGTTTGCAGCCAAGAGCTGGGATTACAGGCGCATGCCACAACGCCCTGTCCCACTTGCCATCTCAGCGTGTCCCAGGGTCCTGAATATGTCTTAAATTCAGCAGTTTTCAGCTGTTAGATAGTTAAGATGGCACATATATCACTAATATACCTCTAATCAAGCAAGGCAGTATTTTTAGTAACTTTTAGATTGTTCCTATTAAGAAGATGAATAAAACTGTAAGTAACTTCACACCAGCCTAGACGAGGTTTGGGAAAAGTACGAAAGCATCCTCCAGAGGAGATTCTAGAGCTCTTTCTCCCTTATTTTACAAGCGAGGACGATGGAGAGCAAGGGACGTGCAGCAGCTTGCCTAGCTGCTGAAAGCCTTGCTCTCTCCTTCCAAAGCCCCTGGTCTATTTTATACTGAAGAGTGGCTGGGAAGATGAAGATGATTCCATGCGTGAAGTAAAATTTCTCTGTGAGATGAGTATTATGAAATGTTCCCCCAGTTGGTTTTCCTTGGGTCCATCTCAACCTGTCTGTGGCGACCATGGTGGGTCTCAGAATCTGACGCACGATCTCTATGCTAAGGCAGAGGTTGGCCCCTCTGCATCACGCCTTTGGGGTTTCGAGTCCTGTGTGGCTCCAGTAAGGATGTCCATCTTGTTCTCATCGGGCTCCATGATCTGGCCTCAGATCTGTCCAGTTGCTTTGGATGCATTCCAGGCCATGCTCCACACCAGCTCCATCAGGGTCCAGGTCTCTAGTGAGCAGGCTTCTTGGCCACCTCTCCTGGCGGCCCAACACACACACATACCTGCACACACACGTCACACAGAAGGTATCTCTTCCGCAGGGTGGATTCCTTGACTGCGTGAGCCTTCCTCGGAGCATCCTGGCATCTCCAAGCATGGTACTTACCGACCTAAGAATACTTGCCTATTCAGTTTTCTGTCTCCTGGGCTAGACTATAACCTACTTGAGAGCAGGAACCAAGTGTGGCTTATTTCTATAAGTGCAGTGCCATCCCCGAGTATGGATGTGGGTCTCACTGGGCACAGGTGACGCCGAAGCATCTAGAGTGGTTGATGTCATCCAGGGAGAATATGTAGTGAGAAAGAGCCCAGCTGAGCCTCAAGTACGGAGGCAGGGCCACTCTCGGCCACAGATATCATGGCAGAGACCACGATTTTGGCACACTGAGTTCTACAAGATGCTTCTTTTTATTCCTCTTTTGGTCAACTCCTGGGAGAATTTTATATCCTGAGAAAATTCATTTTACTTTGAGTTTATTCCTATCAAAAGTCTGAAACTCAGCAGAGGCTTATAAATCATATTACAGCTCAGAAAAATAATAGTTTTACAAGATGAGAAAGCTGTAAGAATTCCCTTAGCAATTCAAAATGACAAATTCTCTCGCCTTCTCTATTGCAATTTGGCAGTCCTGCTGCATAGCATTTATGTACCTGGTGCTTTCCGATCCTGAGAGAGGCTGTTAAAGAAATCCCAATTAAATTCCTCAGTATGTTAGCTTCTCGAACTTTGGAAAACTGAGGTTCTAAGTGACTCAGTAAAATTTTCAAAAACTCTCTTTTAAGCCTAAAGTGGACATGTCCAAAATATCATCCCCAATCTCTTAGGTACGTGATCCCTTTTTGTCTAAAGGTTCTATTCATTTGCTTCTCCTTTTCCTTGGGGAATTTGCCTGCTGGGGAGAATTTAGAGTTTGCTCAGGTATGAGTTTGCTGTTGAGTTCTGAAAAGGAAAAGAGGCCATCTCTGAAACTGATGTGCTTGTGGGAGGGAGAGTGGGTCCT